CAAGATCTCACTCAAGCTTTGTCAGATGGTGGGAGAATTCAGTTCCTTGATTCCTAACAAGTGAAGGCCTTTCTTAACTCCTTTTTAAATTACTTGGGCCTCTCCATAGGGCAGGTCATAACAAGGCCCCTGAATTCAGATAGGATAAAAGACAGCACAAGAGAGGGCATTCTAAACAAAATCTTTCCCAACTGCAATGACAAGATCCTCCCATCCCGCACCCTGAAACTTCAGTCAGGCTTTCAAAGCTCTCAAGGCCCTGATGTTAACTATGAACTTGGTCCACACAATCCATTTGTAGAATGAATCCAGGTATGTGTTTAGCCAGAAGCCCTCTTCTACTTCACATTCTTTTTGAGTAATTTTCTATCTCTTGTCCCCTGCACTGTTCCTTGGCCATAAACTCCTATTATTCCTTGCTATATGCACACAGAAGCCAGTTCTGTACTGAAGTGTCTATTGAAATGGTTCCTGGATAGCATTTCCTTTTATGGCTTTTATTTGTGTGTTTCTATTGTTTCTCTGACAATAACATCAGTTAGGAAATAACACCCTGTTGTTTTTTGTCACATTGTTTTGTGTAGAATCAAGTCATTATGAGATTGAACAGAAACAGGATAGGAGAGAGGCAGAGACATTTAGAGCCAAGTCAGAGGCGGTGTTCCATAGGTGTCATAAACAATGAGCATAGCATCCCATCTTGGGGGCAAGCTCGAAGTCCCTAGGCCACTGCTATGCTATCACAAGACCCATTTGGCTTCCACTATCAGTTCATACTTCATCCTGGAATCCTCTGTGGCCTATTGTCCTCAGTTCCTGAAAGGAAGGTCAAGAATGAACTGAGCTAGAAACCTTAAAAGTCATACTGTAGTCTCTGAGCTTAGATTTGTAGGTTTGCAATAGAATTAATCCAGACTTAAAGGTAACAAGTATGCTTCCTCCCTCAAACAGGTAAACAGTGTTGCAGTAGAAGATCCCATTTCCTATCTGGTTATCCCAAATTGGTACTATTGAACTTCAGAAACTAATGCTCCAAAGTCTATCATTTCAGCACTGCTGAGTATTCAGACCCAAAAGAAGCAAGTTCTGCCAGCCCTTTGCTCCCCTGTCTCCTAGTTTTATTTTCTTCCAAAGTTATTCAACAGAGACCCAGAATGCCCCTTTCCCAATGTGTGTTTGAAAATCTGCAATCCATCTCCCCAAAGCCAAACAAAACCTAGAAGTATTAGTCTAACCTTCTTGTGCCTTTGTATATAGGTGCAGGAAACAAAGAAAGGACCTTGCTAACTTGTCTTACAGACACAAGACCCTCATCTCCATGGACCTTGTCTCAGACTCAGAAGGAAATGATGCTACACAAAGAAACTAAGAAGAATATGAGTAGACAGGCCTTTCTTTTCTTTTCTTTTTTTTTCCTGTTGACCAGAGATTCTTGACCTTCCTAATGCTGAGACCCTTTAATACAGTGCCTTGTGTTGTGATGACCCAAACATAAAATTATTTTCATTGGTACTTTATAACTGTAGTTTTGCATATATATGTTTATGTGTATGTATGTATATATACATATATATGTTATGGAGGGTATCTAATATGTGACCCTGTGGGGGCTGTGGCCCATTGGTTGAGAACTACCTCCTTAGCCTTTGTAATCCAGTCACTTTTAGCATGGCTAATCTCTCCTCCCTAATTCTAAGCATAGTACTAGAGAACTTTTCTTCTGGTTCTTCAGGTCTTGCTCAAAGCCACTTCCAACATATAAAAGTTTCATTAAATAAGTATATTATGCTTTATTCTGGTTAACCTGTCTTGTTTTAGAAGTGCTGTTCATGAACCTAAAGATGAGTGACAAAAGATAGTTCTACACTATCTCCTTCTAGGCGAGCTTGTAGCATGAACCATGCTGTAGTGGTTTGAATAGGTATAGACCCCACCCACTCATGTGTTTGAATGCTTGGCCCACGGAGAATGACACTACTAGAAGGTGTAACCTTGTTGGAGGTAGTATGTCACTGTGGGTGTGGGCTTTGATGTCTCCTATGCTCAAAGCTGTGCCCAATATGGAATCCAGTTTTCTCTTGACTGCCTTAGGACCAAAATGTAGAATTCACAGCTCCTTCTCCAGCACCATGTCTGTGTGTACACTGCCATGCTTGCCACTATGATAATGGACTAAACCTCTGAAACTGTAAGCCAGACCCAGTTAAGCATTTGCTTTGATCATGGTGTCTCTTCATAGCAATGGAAACCCCAACTAAGACACACACTGAGGCCATGGAGCTGAGTAACATCTCTAGTGAACCTTTACTCTCTGGAGTGATCCATTGTTTCCAAAATACCTAAGTAATTTTCTCCAACAGAGTTGAGCATTTCTTTTTGGGCTTGTAAATCCATGGAAAATAAATATGGAAATGGTTTTTTAAGATGCCTCCTATTCTGGAGGCAAGCACAATTTTTGCTTTTGTTTACCTAAATACTACAGGATTGTTATCTGGATGCCCCATTTGGATGAAGCCTTGAAGACACGTTAACCCATGGGCTTTGTTAAGAGTTACTTAGGAAAAGCATTCAGGCTCCAAATCCAACTTTTAAAATGCCAAGTGTAAAGTGGTCTTTGCTGTTGTCTGTGTTGATTTCATTAAAGATTTGTGTAAACATAGATGAACAGTCACTAGGGTGCTTTCTGGTGGAAGTTGATGCTTGTTGGTGGGGACTTCGGGTTTTTAGTTTGGATTTTTGCTGTTGCTGTTTTTGTTTTTAAATTTATTTTTATCTGCAGGATCTGTAAAATGTAGAGTCTGAATGTTGATCCACTTTGACCTGAAAGAGGGCGAGGGCTTCCTTCAGTACCTTGTAGTCCAGTAAGAGAGACTAAGAGTGGGTGAGTGTTTAGGCTAGTCAATGGCTTTCCACACTAACTGTGACAGTCTCACTTCTTAGAGTCCTCATAGCTGTTGAAAGGGGGCTCTGTAACTCTCTGCATGCAGACCCACTGCCTGCTCATGTGGGCTTGGGGAGAGCCACAGAGGTCTTGACCTACCAGCTGCTTTCCTGGTCTCCCTCAGTTGACCCACCCTCTGCCTTCAGAGGCATGATGGATTGGTTTGAACAGAACCATCCCATTCCCAAACTGAAAGGTTCCTTTTCACGTTTGGGAACAACTTGAAACCACTGGAGAAAATCATGTTCCAATTACGTATAAACTCCTTTACCACAAGGTATAAAGGAAGCCATAATTCGGGGGCTTATGTTTGATTGAATTCATCTGTTTCCATTTTGTAAATAGAGAGGAGGGAGAGTCCATGGTGGTAGACAGTTGATATAAGGCAGCTTCTATTCCTGGGGAGAAGAAGGGGTGGCCCTGTCGCTTCACAGCCTCAGAGCTAGGCTCCTTAGGTGCAAAGAATCACAAGACAGCCTACACCAGAAAAGAGCTTAGCCTTGTGCAGGGTAGTGCCCAGACTCTTCCAGAACCAGAGACTAAAAGAGAAGAGGCTGAATTTTGTCCACCATATAGCCAAGAACAACAGCCTCGCACTGGGGAATACCCCTACCCACATCCAGGACAGATTTACACTGATGGGTTTGTGTTTGCCAGAAGCTGACAAGCTAGACTTTCCTCTTAGCATCCCTAAGTGTGTTGGTACTAATTTGGTGAAAAACGAGATGCATTGTTAAAACTGGCTTTCCTTTCCTGCTCAGCAGCTTGACATTATGGGATATTGAAACCTCAAATTGCTTCATAGAAACATGCCTGAGGGTGACTGTACAGTTTGGGGGCTGGGATGACTCAGTAAGGTACAAAATAAAGGTCCTTTCCCCATCATTCCTGTCTCCTACAAATAAAAGAGTAGCTTGTTAATGTGCACAGTGGGTTAGCTCATGTCCCTGTCCTACTATGTGCCTCTTGTGAACATTAAATTCTCTGGTTGCAATTCAGAAAAACTTGAGTCATAAACCAGCTTTTTCACTCAGTTGATCATGGGAACATTGGCCACGTTTGGGATCTCATTCTCCTCATCTACAGAATGGGACATCTACTTCACTGGGTTGCTGTGCTATAAAAAGTATTTGTGAATTATGTAGCATCACAATATAGTAAGAATGAATCTGGCCCTGTTGTTTCTGTTCCGGATTCATCTTCCTAAGAAAGTGTCTGGCTTCTACATTTTCAGAACCATATTGTAGATCAAGGTGATTCCTTATTGTATACTAGGGAACAGCCACGTTATAAGGCTTCAAACAAGTACTTTCTAGATCTTTCTATATTGTCCCCAGGTGTCTTTACATCATATGGTACGTTAGTAGTTGTGGTAATTGCCATTCTTGATCACTTTGTGTTCCTCTTAAATCATGTCTCTTGTTAATTGTTAAAATATGAACATATATTCCACAGATGGAAATGAATGGCTACCTTGTTGTCATTGTTCTTTCATTAGGCCAGCACTTGATTATCTAAGAATTAGGTCTGCAAATACTAGGTTTTATGCATGTTGCAGCTCTGTGATGGTCAGCTTCCTGTTTCTATAGCAAATACCCCAGCTCATCAACTTATAAAGGAAGAAGGCTTGCTTGAGGTCACATCTTTGGAACGTCTGTCCTCTAGGTCTTTGACTGGAGGCAGCAGGTCATAGAGGCAGCACAGAGAAGAGCACATCATTGATCCCCCTTGACCTTTTTGGGGAATGTCCTCCAGGATCTCCCAGAAGACTTTACCTTTTAACATCTAATAGAAGCAAGCTGTTGATAAAAAACACTTATCACATGGGATTTTGGGGGACAGTCCTTCCTTTCCTTCATGCCCTCTCCAGTCCATTCTTAACTTGCTCTAGATAGTTGCCAAGAGGTTTGCATTGGATTATCCCAATTATTTTTTCTGGTACCGATCATTTTTCATGCTTTACTCAACAAAGGATGTAGGAGGTCTGGGCAACTTCCTCGAGGTTATTCATCGAAGTAATGAGAGTGGGCTTTGATCACAGACATTGAGAACTCTGACGTCTTCTACCAGGTCTGTCTTTATTTGCTTAGGAGAAAGTTCAAGTTTAAGTCAAATGGCACAGCACAAATTGGACAATGATAAGATTCCCTTGGGAATGTGCAGTGAAAGAGGGAGCAAAGCCTGTGGGTCAGACACAAGTGCACACACAACATCCAATCTAGGACCTCTCCTTCTCCTCTACTATTATCATGTTAAGACTAGAATACATTCGAGGAATACTCAGAAGGAAGCAACTCCCAAATTCTCAAATATAATTTTACTTTGTTTTGAATCACCACCATCACCATCACCACCACCACCACCAGCATCATCATCATTATCATCATTATCATCATCATCGAGAAGTTACTATGATAGAACTTCTTGGAAGGAGTTCCTTTTCACAGTTTAGAATTGATACTTAAAAGCCAGACTCTCCGAAGTGACAATTATATTTAGTAGTTCTCAAGACTTGTTCCCAGGTGATTGCTTTTCCCACTCCTCTGGAGTCTTATGATAGAGCTTTTGATCATGATTTGTGTCCAGCCATACATCTGACATTTCCCCCGTTACTTGTGTCAGGCACTAAAATCTCCCAGGCTTTCCTCAACACTCAGGACCTACTGGCTCTATTTTGTTTTGGGAATTTGCACCATCTAAGGGTGTATGGGACTTTCCGGGCTTCCTTGGTGATCCAGATACGATTATTTTCTTAGTGGGCGATATCTTGGACATTTTTGTCTAGCTCTCTCGTCCGCATGTTGTGAGAAGCACTCCCAAATCTGTGAGGCAGAGCTTGCCTTTTGGAGGCTCAGTCCCATCAGTGTTTCCCGGGTAATTTGTCTCTGAGAGATGAGTATTAAAGAGGAACTAAACAGCAGGATAATTTGGCCCATCCAGACGAGGATGATCTTATCAGGCTTTGACTATCTCTTGTACTGAGTCTGAGACCATGAGACTCTGACAGTGGGCTTTAGACTGGATGGAAATCTGTGTACCCAAGCACTCTGCCTCCTTTTGAGGCAGTGGACCAAGTCTTACCCTGATGTAAGCAATTTTAATTCATCGAGATTCTGCCTAACGATGCTGGCGATTTACATTGTTCTCATTCTTGAGTATGATTATGCTTTCAAAGAGAGAGCTAGAGATCAGGCCTGTGGAGACACTTTCCTCTAAATGCCTCCTTTGAAGGGCACTGCTTATCCTGTCAGAGAGAGAAATGAGACAAGAGAGGGTCTTCTGTCAGGCATCCAGGGTCTCCGCAGTGAACTCTGAAGAATGGTGTCTATTGTACTCACCTGGTCATTCTGTACCTTTTGTGAGAAGCTCTCAGAGCCTTCCGAGGAAGGCTAGTGTCTTCAGGGATTTGGGGCTATCCCTGAGTTATCTGTGACCTTATCCAGAATTGTTCTCCAAAACAGTATCTCCTTGATTCCACAGAAAAAGAGACTCTGCATCATTCTCAGTTTCAAGAATACTGTGAGAGGAAAAAACAAAGAGCTTTACAATTAATTGTAGATTTAGAGGAAAGTTACTGCAAGGAATAAGAAGACATAGATTCAAAGTATTACTTCAGGGCAGTCTTCAAAAACACAAACATTACTGAAGGAAGAGGAAAGCTTCCTCTAGCAAGGTGCTTAAAAATATCCAAATATTCAGGAGGCTAAAAATATAAGTGGGAGGAATAATGCCTGGCTGTATCCTTCCTTCAACCTTAATTGTCAGCTTCTATGTGGCAGGTATTGCTCAGAGCTTGAATTAACAATCCTGTGGTCTTTTTTTCCTTTGGATTGTGCAATCGCTTGTAAACCAGGTCTTGCTTTCTAACTCCAAGCAAACTAATCCCCAGAGCAGCACCTTTGGAAGTGTGCGTCTAGTTACACCACACCCTTGCCCCAACCTCTCAGAGTTTAAATCCTATATGGAACACAGGTTCGCACCTGACACTCTACTCTGCCCCCACACCTCTAAATCCCCAGCCACTGGGACCCAGATTGATAATTACCTTCTACAAGCAGATCCTTAGTTCAATGTACCCCAAACTGTCTTTCTGTTTTAGCACTTATTGTATTATTATCTAATTTGTCTCTTATTTGTTCTGTATTGAGCTTTAAGAATATAAACTTGTTTTTGCTTATCTTGGAGTCATTCCCAGGACTAATTTGTCTGTAAGTCTGTAGAAGGAAGAAAGGAAGAAAAGAAAGAAAGAAAGAAAGAAAGAAAGAAAGAAAGAAGGAAGGAAGGAAAGAAAGAAAGAGAAGGAAGTGTCTTAGTTCAGGTTTTATTGCTGTGAATAGACATTGTGACCAAGGCAAGTCGAGGTTCTGTCCATCATTATCAACTTGGGAGCAGGGCAGCATCTAGGCAGGCATGATGTAGGCAGAGATGAGAGTTCTGTATCTTCATCTGGAGGCTGCTGGTGGAAGACTCACTTCCAGGCAGCTAGGACAAGGGTCTTAAATTCACACTCAAACTGACTCACTGACTCCAACAAGGGACCACCTCCAAAAAGTGCCACTCCCTAGGCAAAGCATATTCAAACCATGACAGGAAAGACAAAAGGAAGGGAAGAAGGAAGGAAGGAAGGAAGGAAGGAAGGAAGGAGGAAAGAAGGAAGGAAAGAAGGAAGGAAGGAAGGAAGGAAGGA